ACAGATGGCAGGTCTCCTGTGGCTCTTCTTCTTACCGGCGGGACTCCCGAAAGAGAAATTCCGCAGTGGATTCTCACTTCCCCTCTTTCCTTTGCCGCTGCTAGCCTTCAGGGTGCCCGCTGCAGAACCCCCAACGCAGCCACTGCATCTTACGTGCAAGATGCACCAACGGCCTCCTTTGCTTGCCTTCGGTATACAGCTCCACACATTGGAAAACGTGGCCTCTCAAAGCTTATGACAAAGCGACGGCGCCGACGTATTGCGGTGGTTACTGTCCGACTCACCTGGGAGACCCGGGTTCGAATCAGCGTTCCCTCTAAGCCGAGGGTGAGCCAGCTCACAGTTTTTCAGCCTCCGGCTCACACATTTTTGTCCTAGCTCAGGAAGGAGGGCTCCAGTGCAAACTGAGTCACGCAGTATTTATTTTTTGATTTGTTATTTATTTATTAAATTTGTATCCCGCCTTTCCAACATGGGCTCAGGGCAGCGAACATAGAGGCAAATGCCGTACATAAAACAATAAACAATCATTACCTACAAAACAGTTAAAAGTTGGTGCTCAACAGACCATATCAATTCCATAATAAAATGCCAATAACAACAACACACTCCGAGTAAACACAATTGTCTCTGCTAAATTGATGTTACACTATAACTGTCATCCCCATACCAGGGCCAGTGTGCCTCATGATGTTAATACGGTGGTGGTACAATGGTGGTGGCAGCCCCTACTCAAAAGCCTGGCGGAAGAGCTCCGTCTTACAGGCCCTGCGGAGCTGCATAAGGTCCCGCAGGGCCCTGATCTCCTCCGGGAGCTCGTTCCACCAGGTAGGGGCCACCAACGAAAAAGCCCTGGCCCTGGTTGCAGCATATTTAACTATCTTGGGGGCTGGGATAACCAACAGATGTTGCCTCCCCTGACCATAGTGCCCTTGGGGGAACATATGGGGAAAGGCGGTCCCTCAGGTAAGCCGGACCCTGGCCATATGGGGCTTTAAAGGTAAGAACCAGCACTTTGAAACCATTTGTAGCCAAATTGCTCGCACACAACTTTAATGCCAGCAGCTCACAAAGTAGAATTTTGGCTCACAAGACTCCACAGCGTAGAGGGAGCATTGGTTTGAATCCCTGCTTGGCAGCGGAAGCTCGCTGGGCGACCCTGGGCCAGTCACATGCTCTCGGTGTAACCCAGCTCATAGGGCTCTTGTGCAGATAAAAGTGAAGACGAGAATGATGTACGTCCGTTTGGTTCCCCACTGGGTGGAAAGGTGGAATATATTATATATGATGTAAGTAAGCCAATAAATCATCGAATGACGGAGCTGGAAGGGGCCCGACAGGCTATCTAGTCCAACCCCCTGCTCAAGGCAGGATCAGCCTACACAGCATCCCTATAGAAATAATCTGCCCAGCTCTCTGAACTGTGGGAAGGACCCTGCAGAGTCCGCTATCCCTTAGTTAAACTTTGCAGATGGAGAAACCGAGGCACGCAGAGGTGAGATTTGCCGGAGGATCCCCGATGAGGTCATGGCTCACTTGGGGCTTCGGAGTCGGGCAGAAGACGGCCCCGACACCCTGTCACTGCGCCTGCCCAGCAAGATGACCTCAACCATCGCTCGACTTGCTTCCTGGAAGGCTACGGACCACGTACGGGCGTCCCCTGGAACTTGCCAGTGCCGCTGTGTGTCCCCCCCCACCCCCAGCGTAGCAGTCCAAGCAACCCGCAGCCCAGTCCGACTCACAGAGTGCTCTCTTCACCAAGAGCTTACCCCACAAATAAGCCTCGCAGAGGACTAAAGGCCAAAGCCGTCCACCACCACCCACCCCACATCGTTCAGCGTCAGCTCCTTTCAGAGCTTCATCTCTTAACAGGGAGAACGCGCTCCCAGTCCCTGGCACCTCGGTCATGTGAACACCTCCCCCTCCCTCTCCCTCCCCGCGGGAGAATGAAATCATTGTTGACACTCCCTCCTAAGTGACAAGACGATTCTGCAGCACAGGGGAGGGGGGTGGCGGAGAAGACGGGTTCACCGGCAGGTCTGCTCCAAAACTGTCAGATCGCCAACAGCTGGGGGAAAGAGCAGCCTTGTAAAAAATGCAAATCACCGCTAAGGAGAAAAGGCATCCAGCCGCTTAAGTGGGAAGTTGGAGGGAAGGGAAGGTGGAACACCGACAAGCCAGAATGCCGGGGCTTTCCATGATGCGGGGGGGGGTGCATTTAAAGGGCTCAGAAGAGCTGATGGGCAAAAGCCCCACCAGCTGTGTTCCCTCTAAGCCGAGTGTGAGCCTGCAGGGCCGGCCCCAGCTTATTTTGCACCCTAGGCGAGGATCCCTTCTGCGCCCACCAATTTTCAAAAATAAATGCATTTTTGGAAGAATGAAAAACACAAATAATCAAGAAACTCTCAGAGTACGGGGCTGGGTGCAGTTTGTCGCCCCTAAGGGCCGGCCCGCTCTAGGCGATCGCCTAGTTCACCTAGTGAGTGAGCCGGCCCTGCCTCCAGCTCACACCTTTTTGTCTTAGCTCAGAAAGGATGGCTCCAGAGCAAACTAACTGATGCAGGAGCCCAATGGCTCGCTCACAACTTTAATGCCAGCAGCTCACAAAGTAGAATTTTGGCTCACGAGACTCCACAGCTCAGAGAGAGCATCGCTCATGGACCAGCGTTCCCTCTAAGCTGAGCTAGTGTGAGCCAGCTCACCGGTTTTTAGCCCCCGGCTCACACATTCTCGTCGTGCCTCAGGAAGGGATGGCTGCAGAGCAAACTGATTTAGGCAGGAGCCAAACGGCTCACTCACAACTTTAATGCCAAGAGCTCACAAAGTAGAATTTTGGCTCACAAGACTCCACAGCTTAGAGGGAGCATTGCGCATGACCAGTGTTCCTTCTCAGCTGTGCTAGTGTGAGCCGGCTCGCCTTTTTTAACCTCCGGCTCATACATTTTCGTCATACCTCAGGAAGGGATGGCTCCAGAGCAAACTGATTGATGCAGGAGCCAAACGGCTGGCTCACACCTTTAATGCCAAGTGCTCACAAAGTAGAATTTTGGCTCACAGGGCTCCACAGCTTAGAGGGGGCATTGCACATGACCAGTGCTCCCTCTCAGCTGTGCTAGTGTGAGCCGGCTCACCGTTTTTTAACCTCCGGCTCATACATTTTTGTCGAGGAAGGGATGGTTCCAGAGCAAACAAACTGATGCAGTAGCCAAATGGCTCGCTCACAACTTTAGTGCCAAGAGCTCACAAAGTAGGATTTTGGCTCACAGGACTCCACAGCTCAGAGGGAGCATTGCGCACGACCAGTGTCCCCTCTAAGCTGAGTTAGCGTGAGCCAGCTCACCGGTTTTTAGCCTCCGGCTCACACGTTTTTGTGGATGCTCAGGAAGGGGTGGCTCCAGAGCAAAGGAACCTACGCAGCAGCCAAATCACTTGCTCACTTTTTAAAAAAATATATATTTTATTTCAGCTTTAACAATATACAACAATACAAGGAGAAAAGAAACTTGGGAGGGACCGAATAGTGAACACATTCGACCAGAGAGAAAGCTCAAACATGACGTCAGTGGGTCACAAAGTAGAATTTTGGCTCACAAGGCTACACAGCTTAGAGGGAGCATTGTGCATGACCAGTGTTCCCTCTAAGCCGAGTTAGTGTGAGCCAACTCACCGGTTTTAAGCCTCCGGCTCACACGTTTTTGTGGATGCTCAGGAAGGGGTGGCTCCAGAGCAAAGGAACCTACGCAGCAGCCAAATCACTTGCTCACTTTTTAAAAAAATATATATTTTATTTCAGCTTTAACAATATACAACAATACAAGGAGAAAAGAAACTTGGGAGGGAGCGAATAGTGAACACATTCGACCAGAGAGAAAGCTCAAACATGACGTCAGTGGGTCACAAAGTAGAATTTTGGGTTCCCAAGACTCCGCAGCTTAGAGGGAGCCAACAATAGGAGGCGGCGGCGGCGGCGGCGGCGCGGCTCCAAAGCGGTGACGTAATGCCAGCCGGCGGCCCCGAGCGCGGCTGTTGCGCCTGCCGAGCGGGGCCGAGCCCAGTTTTTTTCCCCCTGCAACCCTACAGACAAACCCCATTTGCTGCTTCTGCAACGCTAAAGACAAAATCCGGTTTGCTCTTTCTGCAACCCTACAGGGAAACCCCATTTGGTTTCTTCACGACCCTGCAGACAAACCCCACTTGCTGTTTCTGCAACCCTACAGGGAAACCCCATTTGCTTTCTTCGCAGCCCTACAAGACAAACCCCATTTACTTTCTTCGCAGCCCTACAGACAAACCCCACTTGCTCTTTCTGCAACCCTACAGAGAAACCCCATTTGCTTTCTTCGCAACCCTACAGAGGAACCCCATTTGCGTTCTTCGCAGCCCTACAGATGAACCCCACTTGCTGTTTCTGCAACCTTACAGGGAAACCCCATTTGCTTTCTTCGCAACCCTACAGAGGAACCCCATTTGCTTTCTTTGCAACCCTACAGACAAACCCCACTTGCTGTTTCTGCAACCCTACAGGGAAACCCCACTTGCTGTCTTTGCGACCCTACAGAGAAACCCCATTTACTTTCTTCGCAACCCTACAGACAAACCCCACTTGCTGTTTCTGCAACCCTACAGGGAAACCCCACTCGCTTTCTTTGCAACCCTACAGGACAAACCCCACTCGCTGCTTCTGCAACCCTACAGAAAGACCCCATTCGCTTTCTTCGCAACCCTACAGACAAAACCGATTTGCTTTTCCTCCAACCCTACAGACAAAACCCCATTTGCTTTTTTGTTTGTTTGTTTGCAACACTACAGAGATACACACACCCCTTTGCTTTTTCTTTGCAACCCTACGGACAACCCCCCCCCGGCTCTTCCTCCAGCAGAGCCGCAAAAGGCAGGCAATGCAAACCTCGCCCGCTGCTCTCGAGGAGAACCGGGCAAGTTTCCCCGGCCGCTGGGAGTCAACCAGCAGCGCCACACACACAGAGGCAGCGACACCTTACCTCTGCAAAGTAGAGGCTGAGCAGGCAGAGGGTGGCGAAGAGGAGGCAGCCCGGGCAGCAGAAGAGGAGCCAGTGCGGGAAGGCGGGCAGGCGCCGGCGGGGGGTCCCGGCTCCGCGGAGGGCGCCCTGCAGGTAGAAGGAGAAGAGGACGGTGCGGAGCGCCGCCCAGGCGAGGCAGAGGAAGAGGCAGACGGAGCGGTAGCTGAGCCGCTTCTCCCGCGAGCAGAGGAGCAGCCAGAGCTGCAGGTAGGCGAAGGCGAAGAGGCTGCCGTAGAGCGCGGCGTGCACCAGGCTCAGGCCCAGCTCCACCGCCCAGGGCACCCCGCCGCCCTCCCGGAGCACCATGGCAGCCGGGACCCCCGCGGCCCCCTCCCCGGCTGCAAGGCGCCCGCAGCCCCCCTGCAACCCGCCCCATTGGCCCGCGCGGCGCCCCGCCCACGCCGCCTCCCCGTGGGCCGCGGCCTCCTGCCAATCGGGGAGCGAGCGCCCGCCTCTCCTCCCGGGCTCCCGGGGAAGGCGTCTTTGAGGTTGGGGCCGCCCGCCCGCGCCGGATTTGCAGCAGCCCGTTTCTTGCGGCTCTCTTGCTGTTTTTTCTTTCTCTCTCTGCCTGCCGGGTTTGCTTTTCTCCCCTCTCCCGGATCAGCTGAGCGGCAGGCCGAGAGAAAGGCGGGCCTGCGCGCAAATTGGGGGGCAGCGGTCTGTCTCTCCCCGTTTCTGCTGCGAATCCGGATTCAGAGGGAGCTAATCCGGATCGCACGGGCTGCGAAGCGGGACCCCCCCCCCCCCCGCTTGCAAAGGGGAGCCGTA